ATGGATTATATAATCCACTTAATATTGGATTTGTTCAGTCAAAGGCAAATAATTTTGGATTTAGCAGTCACAAGCAGAAAAATGGGCAAAATCTTATTGTGTATTTTGTGAACTGCATTTTTAACAGATGATAAAATCAAATGTAGGCGCTTTTGTCCTACTGGCTCTTTCTGTAAAGGACTTGTATTAGTTTAATGCCCCCTTAGGTATAGAGATAATATTGGGTTATATAAAGAAGATAAATAAACCAAAATTTCCTAGTGCCCTCATGCAATTTGGTTTAAATTTTAAAACTTGGGAAGCCAGAGAAATCATGAAAAAACAAAAAGAGCTCTGTTGAGCCATAAATACAAGGGGAAAAGTACTGAGCATGTAGATTTTAACCTGGGAAATGGCTAAGCGCAGAAGTAATTCCAGGAAGCATGGTAAACTCATGGTACTTGTGCTGTCATTCCATGCTCTGGCGCTCGCGGGAGACTTTTCTAATTAATCTTCTTTTCCTGCCAAGCCCACAAACAATCTCCCTGTGTAGAACTCCAGGCAGCGCCTGCCTCTTGTTAGGCATCAGCGTTCAGATGAAAGCCATCAACCCTCTCTAGACGAAATGGCCCTGGTGATCCCAAACTGAAAATGAGTCTTGTGCACAGCTGACTTGATTTTATCACCAGGACTAGAGCAAGCAGGACTCTCAAGGCAATGCTGCCGCTGTGTTCTCTGTATTCAGCCCACAAGAGACTGCTCAAAGACCTCCAGCAGGTTTCACGGGGCAGCGCAGAGTAGGGGTGAATGAATGGGCAAATGGAATCTCTAGCACTGTAATGTTCTGCAAAATTTCTACATCTGTAAAATAGGGATCATGATACCTATTTCTCAAGGTTGTTATGAAGATTAGTGGAGATAGGCCATGTAAATTACCTTAAAATAGGTGCTTGCTAAATGTCAGTTCCAGATTCTCACTGCATGAATTTTAAAGGGACATACAGAAAGTCCTAAAGCAAAGTGCCTGAGGGGGTTATAAGGGTTGGAAAATAAAATCAGGAAGCCGTTAATCTGAATTGTTTGTGGTTTGTAAGTGAAAAATTGGAAATTTCTACTTGATACAGAGTGAACAAGATGGTAACAAGACATTCACGTCTATTTTGAGACTGGAAGTGCAGGACTGTAGACATTAGGATGGTATCTGATGTTCATCACTGGGGATGGATTAGCTGCCCTGCTTTCGATAGGATCTCAATTGTAATTTTGCAGCCTTTCAATGCATACTAATGTGGGCAGGAACATTCTAATCTGTATTCCAGGTTCTTACGAAGGTAAGATTTCTAAGTGACATTATTTACATTAGTGCACAGATAGGAACAGGATTTATTTAACAGCGAGAGAAACTATACATTCAGACACAAGTGTGGCTGCGTCTTCTCCCACATGGAGAAGTACCTGTCGTGAGTGGGCCAAAGGATTGCCCAAAGGGAGAAGGGGTGGGGGAGCAGGAGAGTGGACACCAAATTAACACCTCCCACCATGGTCCCTGGTGAAAGACAGGGTTCTCCTGTTTGTTGACCTCTTTTATGCCTCTACATGCAGCAAGCCACCTGGAAATTTTATGATGTCTCCATAAATTCCATTTGAAACTTAATATCCATATTTTCACGGCACCCCTCCCCCCACCTTTTAGGTCTTGGATGAAGCAGGTACATCCTGGAAAAGGGTTGATAGGTAGAGAGTGTTACTCCTCCTCCTCCTCCTCCTCCTCCTCCTCTTCCTCTTCCTCTTCTTCCTCCTTCTTCTAGCTAACAGACCTCGACTAACTACCTTATACCACATCTATACCAAGCAGACAATCAAGAGAGGAAAGACTCAAGAAGCCACCAGGGACCAAGAGAGGAGCCCATCTTGAATTCTGTTGCTTTGAGAGAGTGGAGCTGAATTTCTGGCAGCCTAGAGGTCAAGAACTTTTTTGTTCTTTATTTTTAAAGTGAATCTCACAAGTTACACTGTTTTTTGTTTAAAGTAGCCATATAAACTTTCTCTTTGTGCACATTAATAAAATAAACCATTAACAACATGAAAATAATAGTGGGACATAGATATGGCAGGAATTATAAAAACATCATATGTGATAATATTGGAAGTTAGGGAAGAGTGAACTCAAGTAGGAAAGAGAAAAAAGAAATGACAAGGATATGAACTGAGGAGCAACAGAGTTAGGAGGAATCCTCCCTTGTAGGTAGCCCAAGGTTTCCTTCTCCAGGCGGGGTCCTGACATTGTAGTGCCTGCCCGTCAGCTAGGCAAGACAGGAATGGAAGGTGAGTCTAAGGATTCAGCATGGTCATTTAAACACTTACCAGATCATTTAATTCAATTGCACTCTTCCTTTAATTAAGAGACAATCCATGCTTTGCAATTTAGACCCTTTTGACTTTAATTAGGGCTTCCAATCTGCAAAGGGTGAGTGCTATCAATCAAATCAGAGCTGCAGCAAGGCTCATTTCCACATAAACAGCACAGAGGTGTTTATCACCGTGGACGTCCACTCTAAATCCATGCTCATTAATCAGCATGCTTTTTTCCCAGCACTTATTAAGTACTTTTTCCACCAAGCTTTGTGCCGAGTAGAGTTTTACCTGTTTTAAAGTAAGCAAATGAGAGAGTTCCAACATGGTGTAGGGCAGAAAAGTCATTTGTTTTCCTCAGCCGTTACAAGGATCATGATTGAATGGCCTTGTGACAAAAAATGGGTGAATGAGAGAAAAGTCTAGCAAATTTATTTACTGAAGTTTCTATACTATGCAAGAGAATTCAGAAATGATGACCTACAGACTCAGAGAAGACTTGTTGTGCTAAGTCTGATGAGAGAAGTGGATAGTTATGGAGAAAATGTGATTGGGCAAAATCAGTCATGGGAAGCAACTGATTGAGGTTGGCATCATGGCTGTGAAAGAATTCACCAGAGAGTCAGATGGAGTGCATAGAGTTAGATTTCTTGAACGTGCTGCAAAGGGATCAGCAGCCAGGCAGGACAGCTAGGAACTGACTACTGTAACTACTGGTACAGACTGTAATTCAAAATGCAAACTTGCAGAGGCAGTCCCTTCCTAGGGTTTTACCCATGATCCAACAGGTTTACCCAGGTCATCTACATTTCTGGGAGGTGCTTAAATAGCCCTTCCTTCCTGACTTTCCCAGTGCCTTGGGGCAATCTTCCACATCCACCACAACCACACACATACACACACACCTACACCACCATACACACATACACAATTGATCAACAATGACAAATGTTTGGCACTTGGCCAAAGGTCTCATCTTCTGAAGCTACTTCATCCTGGACAAGGATGTGAAGATTGTCGGTCTCCTGGGGGGTTCAGGTGTCCTGGGATCCTGGCTGCAGGGATGCAGCAGGTGGTGCAGCCTCAAGAAGGAGGGGTGGTCTGTTCCAGAAATGTCTACCTGTGTTATCCAGGGGACCATAGGTGGCCTTGTCAAGAGGAATTTGATGTTGAAGGAACTGATATCTGTTGCATTACCATTTGGAAATGGGTTCGCTGTATTCTGAAGGAGATAAACTGAATTAGTCTGTTCAGAAGAGGAAGCCCAGGGGACTGGGGCCAGGAAGAGAATTCTTACAGGAATCACTAGAGGCAGGAGAGAGGACAGAAAGCAAATTCTCCATCTGGGGAGCTGAGAACCCCAGCCAAGAGCCTCTAATTTCCTTCTAATCTCAGCCATCATTCAACTTCCACAAACGTTCTACAATATTCTTGTATTTCCACAATTGTTTGTCCTTGCCTTTTTCTTTCCAGTCATTCCAATTTGGGACAAAACTTTTATACACAATGCCTTTCCTCATTCAAAAAAATGCTCTTTCTTAATCTTCTATACCAAGACTACATTCTCATGCTCGTAGTTGCCTTTCTTTCTGTCTTTTTTTTTTTAAACAGGCAGAGTGGACAGTGAGAGAGAGACAGAGAGAAAGGTCTTCCTTTTTGCCGTTGGTTCACCCTCCAATGGCCGCCACGGCCGGCGCATCATGCTGATCCGATGGCAGGAGCCAGGTACTTCTCCTGGTCTCCCATGGGTGCAGGGCCCAAGCACTTGGGCCATCCTCCACTGCCTTCCCCGGGCCACAGCAGAGAGCTGGCCTGGAAGAGGGGCAACCGGGACAGAATCCAGCGCCCCGACCGGGACTAGAACCCGGTGTGCCAGCGCTGCAAAGCGGAGGATTAGCCTAGTGAGCCGCGGCGCCGGCCTCGTAGTTTCCTTTCTATTTCTTGCTGCCATCTATTGGTTCCTTTAATTTCTGAATTATTTATTCATACATATAACATTTCTTGCCCAGCAAACCCAGGCATAAATGTATATTAACAGTTTTGAAAATATCCTTACCTCTTTTCCTTGAATAAATTTAAAGCAGCTTATCTTTCAAAGATTTACTTAAATTACATGAACCAATAATCATTTAGATTAACATAACGATTATTCTAGGTGTATTCCATTTGCTCTGTGTTGACTTGCTTTGCTACAATAGCATAAAAGCTTACATATACAGAACTTACTGCCATTTTCTTTACTTTTTTAAAGATTTTGTTTATTTGAAGGTACAATTATGGGGGGTGGAGGAGAAAGAGGGAGAGAGGTCTTCCATCCTCTGGTTTATTCCCCAAATGGCAGCAATGGCTGGATCTGAGCCTATCCAAGACCAGGGCTAGGAGCTTCCTCCAGGTCTCCTGCATGGGGTCAGGGGCCCAAGTACTTGGCCCATCTACCACAGCTTTCTCAGGTGCATTAGCAGAGAGCTGGATCTGAAGTGGAGCAGCCTGGACACGAACCAGTGCCCATTTGGGATGCCGAGGCTGCAGGTGGCAGCTTAATCTGCTACACCACAATGCATCCCCTACTCCCATTTTCTTTTCTTTTCCTAAAACAATCCTAGCCAGAAAACAATGACATAACCCAGGAATCTATTAAGTGGCTATTTCTCATTAAATCTCAGGAGGTAATGAGGACAAGCAGTGTTACAACAGTGGCCTTCCTTGGATTGACTGGCAATGGCATGCTTGTCCCAGGGGATTTTTATGATGGCCAAGCAGGCTTTGGTCAGTCTGGGGGCTGCATGCAGGTGGCAGTTTCTTCCCACCTTGTTTTTTTTTTAATTTTTTTAAAAGATTTTATTTATTTATTTGAGAGATAGAGTTACAGACAGTGAGAGGGAGAGATAGAAAGGTTTTCCCTCCACTGGTTCACTCCCCAAATAGCCACAATGGCCAGAGCTGCGCTGATCCAAAGCCAGGAACCAGTAGCTTCATCCAGTCTCCCACATGGGTGCAGGGGCCCAAGGACCCAGGCAATCCTCCATTGCTTTCCCAGGCCATAGCAGAAAGCTGGATGGGAAGAGGAGCAGCCGGGACTAGAACCGGCACCCATATGGGATGCCAACACCGCAGGCAGAGGATTAACCTCCTGTGCCACTGCGCCAGCCCCAGTTTCTTCCCACCTTATACTAGAATTCCCTTGAAACAAGACCTTGTGAGAAGATATCAAATAGATGTGAATTACTGGAGAATTTTCCCTGGGCCAATTGCACAACTCTCTTTATTCAGTGAATTCCTTTCAATACTCTAAAGTAATAGCAAGGACACCTTGAGCTCAGTGCGGAAGGCTAAGTCCAGATAATATCTTGCCTCTGCTTTAGGGACACATGAATAGGGGTTCTATTTCAACCCCCATTTCTTGTTACTCCTCAATCCTGAGGGAGTAGGGCTGATGACTGCTCTGGCTACTTCATGCTTTTAAGGGATAAAATGAGGCATTTCAGGATTAAAGGAGATTTTCCACACCATGATAGAGTTTGGCCCATTTACTCTGCATCTTTTTTTTAATATTTATTTATTTATTTATTTGAAAGTCAGTTACGCAGAGAGAGGAGAGGAGAGAGAGAGAGAGAGAGGTCTTCCATCCGATGGTTCACTCCCCAAATGGCTTCAACAGCTAGAGCTGTGCCGATCCAGAGCCAGGAGCCAGGAGCTTCTTCTGGGTCTCCCACACAAGTGCAGGGGCCCAAGGTCTTGGGCCATCCTCTACCGCCCTCCCAGGCCATAGCAGAGAGCTGAACAAGAAGTGGAGCAGCCAGGTCTTGAACTGGTGCCCATATGGGATGCCAGCGCCTCAGGCCAGGGCGTTAACCAACTGTGCCATAGCGCCGGCCCCTTCTCTGCATCTTGAATATGCATCACCATTCCACAGCAACAATAAAGGTATTGCCATACTTATGATTATTGTAGTTTCTGTCACCAGGAACTTCAGTCCCAAACCAGTGGTAAAACATTGATTTAGACCAAGTGTGGAATCTGACATAGCACTATTTTGGATGTGCATATCTTGAAAAGCTTTGGAGATGTTTCCAGAATTATCAGATATGAGTATTTTAATGAGGGCAGAGGTTCCACTTTGGGCAGCTGTAAGGAGAGTGGGAACCATTCAGTTTTGGAGAACTGCTTTAACAAGGACAGTTCCCTGAGAAGAAATGGCAGCACACAGTGAGCTGTAGGGTCTGCTGTGGCTTGCCCAAAATGAACTACTCACAACTGCTGCTATCAGACATATCCGCCAGCCTTGGGTGACAATGTTCTGGCATTAGGTGTGAGAATGACAAGTATCACACCTAGATAGCATCTGTTTCTGATATGGGGACCCATCCAAAGGATATAGTCCTGCAAAGTCTTTTGCACAATCACTATCAGGAAATCAGACACAAGACCCCTTCCTCTATATCCTCCCAGCTTTATCTAATTGTGTTTAGGATTGACACCAGTAACTCCATGTTGATTTTTGTTCACTCTTCTGACCAAGATCTTTTCTGAAAATGCCACTTATCGATCATCCTGTAGCTTGGTCCTGTCTGTCCCTCTTTGCCAGGTTGGATTTGACCTGGTTGTTGATCTGGCCAGTATTTTATCACCAGGAGTTAGTGTCAAAAACACTTTCAACCTCATTTGAGCAACACGGAGGTTTTAAAAGTGGTTCTGAGGCTAACTTTACCTGGAGTCCATTATTAAACTTAACTTTTTCTATTCTGTAGGTGTGAGCCATCATCTCAAAGTGCCAGGCCAGCATTATCTTGATGGAAATTGCACTTCTGGAGAATTCTGACAGCAATAGGCACAAAGCTCATAAAGGAAAATATACAATAAACAATATGAAGTTTGCATTTGAAAAATAATAAACAGGGTGGTGATCTAAAAGTAGGCCTGTTATAGTTTATTGAATGACTATTTGCATTAAGTATAATAACAATAGCTACCTTACCTTACCATATAATAATAATAATAGATTTGGAAAAGCTCTTGAAGTTAAGATGCCAATCCAAAGCAGCTTTAGGTTTTTGAAAACTACAGTGTCTAATCTCCTGAAGTTTCTGAGTTTACTAGGAAATGACAGCTCCACGAATCACTGCAAGCCTGGGAACCCTTGGAGCCAGGTGTTCTATGTATAATTTTTTTTAAAGATTTATTTATTTATTTGAAAGTAAGAGTTATATATAGAGAGGAGAGGCAGAGAGAGGCAGAGAGAGAGAGAAAGAGAGAGAGAAAGATAGAGGTCGGTCTTCCATTCGATGGTGAGAGAGAGAGAGAGAGGTCTTCCATCCAATGGTTCACTCCCCAATTGGCCACAACAGCCGGAGCTGCGCCGATCCAAAGCCAGGAGCCAGGAGCTTGCTCTGGGTCTCCCACGTGGGCACAGGGGCCCAAGCACTTGGGCCATCTTCTACTGCTTCCCCAGGCCATAGCAGAAAGCTGGATGGGAAGTGGAGCAGCCGGGCCTCGAACCAGCACCCATATGGGATGCTGGCGCTTTAAGCCAGGATGTTAATCCATTGCACCACAGTGCCAGCCCTATATGTATAATTTTTTGATATGCCAGTGTTTCCAACCAGAAGTGGAAGAAGTAATACCATTTTTTTCTCAAACTATACCAAAAATAATTTGAAAGGTAAGGAACTCTTTTAAACTCATTCTAGCAGGCCAGCATTACTTTGATTCCAAATCCAGACAAGGACACAACAAAAAAAGAAAATTATAGGCCTATATCCTGAATGAACATAGATGCAGAAGTTCTCAACAAAATGCCAGCAAATTCAATCCAATAGCAGCTTAAAAGTATCTTGAATCATGATCAAGTGTGATTTATCCCTGCGATGCAGGAATGGTTCAACATTCATAAATCAAGAAACTTAATTCATCACATCAACAGAATAAGAATAAAAATCATATGATCATTTCAATAGATTCAGAAGAATAATCAGATAACATTAAGCTTCATTCACAATAAAACTTTTAAAAATTAGGGATAGAAGGAATATAGGCTCAGCATAATAAGGTTTTTAAATGAAAACATTACAGCCAACATCTTATTGAATGGGAAAAACCTGAAAACATTTCCTCTGAGACCTAGGACAAGGCAAGGATATCCACTCTTAATGCTTTTGTTTAATAGTGTATTGGAGCCCCAGCCGCCGCCATGAAGGCCGTGGTGCAGCGCGTCACCCGGGCCAGCGTCACAGGGTCCGAAAGATTTTAAACCTGCGTGTGTTCGAGGACGAGAGTGGGAAGCACTGGTCGAAAAGCGTGATGGACAAGCAGCATGAGGTGCTGTGCGTCAGCCAGTTTACCCTGCAGTGTGTCCTCAAGGGCAGCAAGCCCGACTTTCACCTGAAAGCCATGCCCTCGGAGCAGGCAGAGGGCTTCTACAACAGCTTCCTGGAGCAGTTGCGGAAGGCGTACTGGCCGGAGCTCATCAAAGATGGCAAGTTTGGTGCCTACATGCAAGTGCACATTCAGAACGACGGACCCGTGACCATAGAGCTGGAATCTCCGGCACCTGGCGCTGCTGCCTCTGACCCAAAGCAGCTATCCAAGCTTGAAAAACAACAGCAGAGGAAAGAAAAGACCCGAGCCAAGGGACCCTCAGAGTCCAGCAAAGAAAGACCCGCACCCCGCAAGGAAAACCGCAGCGCCAGCAGCTGGGCCGAGGGTGACGTGTCCTCAGAGCGGGAGCCGTAGTGCATGGTCATTGGGCAAAAGTCATTCCTGAAAAATTCAAGATGCTAAGCCCTACACTGCTTTAAGGATTTGGAACTGAATCGTGAAAAAGGAAACAGAAATAAGAAATTGGGACCCTGGACATCCCTGCAGAAGACACCCAAGGACCCGTTGTCATCTTTTGTCGCTGCCATGTGGACGAGGCCGTGGTTGCTGCTCTGGTGGAGTAGTGGGCGTGGCGGCAGGCCCACGCCCGTGCCATCCCCACAGGAAGGCTCAGTTGGCTCCTGCCATGCCTTGGCTTGCTTTTGGAACAGGCTGGCCACCTTCTGTCACCCAGTCCACTGTGGTGTATTCCACGTGCGTGTCACGGGTCTCCAACACCTCCACGCTGTCCGTGCTCTTTCCCACACCAGCTCGTAACCAGGGCCCGTGTCACGGTGTCAGGAAAGCAACCATCACTGATGATGTATCCTGGGAGACCTTCGCATCTTGTAAACTTTCTCTCTTTTCTAAAAATAAATAATAAAACCCACGTCTCAAAAGCAAAAAAAAAAAAAAAAATAGTGTATTGGACATTTTAGCCAGAGCTATTAGGTATGAGAAAAAATAAAGACATACATACAGGAAGAGAAAAGGTCAAATTATCTCCATTTTCAGGTCTATATTCAAAGATATCTAAAGACTCCACCAAGAGACTATTAGAGCTGACAAACAAATTGAATCATGTTGTGATATATGAAATCAGCATGTAAAACATCAGTAGCATTTTTATAAGCCTATAGCTAACTCACTGAGAAAGTAATTATAAGAGCAATAGCATTCAGAATAGCTGCAAAAAATACCATGGAATAGATTTAACCAAGGTCGTGAAAGATTTTCACAAAAAAAAAAACTATAAAACACTTATGAAAGAAATTCAAGAAGACATAAAAAAATGGAAAGACCTCTCACATTCATGGATTGGAAGTTAATGTTATTGAAAAGTTCATATTACCCAAACAAATTCCAGATTCAAACAATCTTTATCAAAATGCCAATTATATTCTTCACAAAACTAGAAAAAAAGCACTATGATTCGTATGGAAGCACAAAAGATCCTTAATAGTCAAAGCAATCTTGAAAATCTTGAACAAAAAGAAGAGAGCTGGAGGCATTACCAAGCCAAATCTGAAGACATACTACAGAGCTATTATGACCAAAATAACATGATCCTAACATGAAAACAGAAATATAGACCAATGAAACAGAATAGAGATCCCAGAAATAAATTCACATATCTACAGCCAACAATCTTTGACAAAGGTACCAGAAGTATATACTCTAGAAAGGAAAGTCTGTTCAACAAATGGCGCTGGGAAAACTGATACTCATATTTAGAAGACTTGTGCAAACCTCTGTCCCCTGTCTCTGACCCTAAGCAAAAATCAACTCAAACTGGATCAAAGAACTAAATGTGAGACATGGAACTATTAGAAGAAAGCATAGGGGAGATAATTTAAGACATTGGCATAGGCAATGATTTTTTTAAGGATCCCAAAATCGCAGGCAACAAAAGAGAAATAGACAAATGTGACTATAGAAAATTAAGAAGCTTCTGCACAGCAAAGGAAGCAGTCAAAAGAGGGGAGAGAGAATTCAGAGAACAGGAGAACTGCATATTTGATCTGTGGAGTCTTTCCTGTGAGCACGGTTCCCTCTGTTATGAGCTGCTAAAGGTAACCAAGGAGCTCAAGGGGTACAGGGAAGTGCTCTGTGGTTGCCCAGGGCCAAGCCACACTCTGTCTCCTCTTGTGCAATCATTGTTTTGTTAGACTCAGCTCCCAGGGTGGGTTTTTTCCTCTGGTTAGGTCTGTGGATCATGGACATGTAGAACCTCACCCACTGGAGGCCTGCCCACTTCTCGATGGTGGTGACCAGGTAAAAGATTCCCACAGGCGGGGTTCCCTTCCCCTCCCATTGCTGGGCAACTGGCAAGGTAGAACCTCTGTGGAGGGGGAAGGAATTCTCCTGAATTGTTGTGGCCCTCACTGCTTGGGTCGGGGGTGAGGTGACCTCCACTACTGCTGGTCTTGCACACAGGAGATGGGGGAAGCAGTCACTTGCCTGCATCCAAAAAAAAAGGTGTGGCCCTGACTGGCTGCAGGTCTCTGCTGTAGTGGGGAGGGGAGGGGGGGGTTGCCACCTCCTTATTTACTTATTTATTTTTCTCTTCTTGCCTCTGCTGTCCCAGGCGGCTCATGTGGAACTTCAAAAGCAGATCACCGAGCTCCCCCTCCAGCTGCTATCTGCAGCACCGTGGACCTGTGGATTCCCCTCTCACCTGCTCTGCCAGGGCCAGCGTTCTCTTCCCCAGGGCGAAGCTTCTGCTGGTTTTTTTTTTTTTTTATGCGTATTTGCTCTTTTGGCACAGACCTGAACCATCTCTACTGTTTTCGTTGGGTTTCCCGCTGCGGATTCCCCACTCCCCCACTTTAAGTATTAATTTTGCTCCACATGAGCCAGACCTTCCTGTCCCTATTCCACCATCCTGGAGCCCCCATGGGTTCCTTTTCTTGGAGAACTGTTACTGGTCATGGAGGGGAGAGCAGTTGCCGGAGGAGTTCTGTGGGTTCTTTTCCTCAGCTCAGTATAGAAATAAGAAGCCAGGGAACAATTTACAAAGAGGCAGAAACTTTTATTTGATTGGCAAGTGACAGAAAAATCATCTGGTCTGAGAGGAGACCAGGCAGAGTGCCCAAATGGTATGTTGTCTTTCAGGAAATGCCCAGGGTTTTTTTTTTTTAATATTTATTTATTAATCTGAATGTCAGAGTTACACAGAGAGAGGAGAGGCAGAGAGAGAGAGAGAGAGAGAGAGGTCTTCCATCCCCTGGTTCACTCCCAAATTGGCCGCAATGGCCGGAGCTGTGCCAATCCAAAGCCAGGAGCCAGGAGCTTCTTCCGGATCTCCCACGTGGGTGCTGGGGCCCAAGGACTTGGGCCATCCTCCACTGCCTTCCCAGGCCACAGCAGAGAGCTGGATCTGAAGTGGAGCATCCAGGTCTTGAACCGGCACCCATATGGAATGCCTGCACTTCAGGCCAGGGTGTTAACCCACTGTACCACAGCGCTGACCCCTGGGAAGTACCCAGGGTTTTTAAGGCATTCTTGGGGGTGCCCACTGGACGGGGGTTTCACATGCTGTATGTTGATTGGCTTGGGGCTTATGAAGATAGTGGGGGTCTCCTGGAGACAGCCAGGCTCTCCCCAGGGGGCTCAGCCCCCTCCTCTGCCAGCTCTGGGCAGAAGATTGCAACTAACTTGAAAGTGTGACTTAAAAGCCCAAGGTCACACATGCAGCACAAGAAGCTGTGAGTGGGGGAGATGCTGGCCGTCTGGAGCCAGGCTTTCCCGCCACAGCTGGCAGCCTGCTTGTGAAGGACGTTCTACCTATTTCTGAGGGGCCCACTGGACGTCCTCAAAACCTTATCCTTTTTTCTCTCCTCCAGCTAACTTTTTAAATCTCACTCCTGGCTTCAGCCCCCACACCATACTTGGAATGTATTGAATGAACAGCCTTTCAGAAGCCAAGAAATTCATTGGCAAATCCTGGGTTACTACAGCAACTCTCTCTGCAGTCCGGTTGTGGTCCCCCAGTCTAGGCAAGGGCTGGGCCTTATGATAGAGACCCCAGTTCCTGCAGGTAGGATGTGTAACAGAAGCTCCTCTGTGCCTGTGAGAAAGCTCAGCCCTGAGTTGGGCTGCTCAGCTCCTGGGCATTCAAGCCCTGAGTCACACAGCAATCCCTTGATCCATTGTAGTTGCATTTGGAAAGCTTGGCTCCTATGAATTATTAGGAATAAAATAATGATTCTACTTAACCCATCAGCCCTGAAACATGAATAAGTTTTAACAATATACTAGTAGATGTACTAGAGGGAAAACCACTATAAATTATGTAATCAGATCAGCAAGTTGAACTCATGTTCTACTTCATACGGAAGACCAAAAATATGCAAAACATAACTGATGCTGCCAAAGTTTCCCAAGAAGTCATCCAACAAAGAAAATACACAGCTCTGACAAGGCATCCAAAACTGGATGGAGATAGACCTGAAAGTAAACCCATTTATATTATGGGACGGGGGTATGTTTCCTGGTCAAACTCCATAGACAGCTAAGGTCGCTTATGCTTTCTTGGGGGATAAATGTGATGTTAGCAGCAGATATTACCCTCTGTAACAAATGGCTTGGATGGACCTGGTCATGTTTTTGTACTACTATTATGAATTTTTAAAAAAGACTTTATTTATTTGAAAGAGAGAGTTAGGGGGGGGGGAGAGGGAGAGGCAGAAAGAGAAAGGGGTGGGGGAGAGAGGTCTTCCATCCTCTGATTCATTCCCCAAATGGCTGCAAAGTTCAGGGCTGGGTCAGGCCAAAGCCAGGAGCCAGGAGCTTCATCCAGGACTCCCCCATGTGTGCAGGGGTCCAAGTCCTTGGACTATCTTCTGTTGCTTTCCCAGGGACATTAGCAGGGAACTGAATCAGAAATGGAGCAGCCAGGATTCCAACCAGTGACCATATAGGATGCCAGCCCTGCAGTCAGGGGCTTAACTTGCTATGCCACAGTGCTGGCCCCTATTATGAAATTGAACAAAATTCAATTGAACCATGAAACTGAATAACACTGTACTTACAAAAACTCTCTTTGTTCTTTGGTACTTACAGTCAATTCAGTTTTGTTTGATGTAGTTTCTTTTTTTTTTTTTAGATTTATTTATTTATTTTAAAGGCAAAGTTACACAGAGAGAAGGAGAGGCAGAAAGAGGTAGAGAGAGAGAAAGAGAGAAAGAGAGAGAGAGAGAGAGGGAGATCTTCCATCCACTGGTTACTCCCCAGTTGGCTGCAATGGCTGAAGCTGCGCCGATCCGAAGCCAGGAGCCTGGAGCCAGGAGCTTCTTCTGGGTCTCCCACATCGGTGCAGGGGCCCAAGGACTCAGGCTATCCTCCACTGCTTTCCCAGGCCATAGCAGAGAGCTGGATGGGAAGTGGAGCAGCTAGGACTTGAACCGGTGCCCATATGGGATGGGTAAAGCACCCGCTATGCCACAGCGCCAGCCCCTGTTTGATGTAATTTTCAAAGTAAAGTGTAAGATTTACCAACTAATTTCTCCTCTCTCAGTAAATTTCTCATGTAGTAGGAGCTAGTTTCTGGCTTGAAAGATTGGCTGGAAGTGAGGAGGCACTAGCAGGACTGAACTTGTTCTCACCTTCAAGGTCAATAAGCACTCCTGCTGGGGTGTTGTCCTTGGCACTAGTGCCCATCTCACATTTGCTGGCCACGTCCTTGATGATATTCTTGAGTACTTAGAACCCATGTTAAGCCAAAGAAGTATAGCAAAGGGAAATGAAATTAGCTTTGAAGAGTAGAAGGCAGGTGGTTTGCAAATATATAGCCCAGTAGGTGAACTAATGCACACTATAAATATAGCTTATAGAAATGTTGTAAAGCAGGTTA